TTTGTTTTATGTTTATATTTTTTATAATTTTATAAAAATTTTCAAGTGTCTTACATTTGATTTTAAATAGAAAAAAAATCTTATTACATGATGTAATATTTGGTTTCAGTTACATGTCATATCACATAAAAGCTTATGATTTGTAGAAAAATAAGACTAACTATAAATTTCTTCAGTAGTGAAATAATCTAAAAAATTTATCTCATTACAGTCGACCCCCCTATAAGATCATTGATTTTTCCGTTTTATCTGAATTACATGTTGTACGAGTCACTTAGATTTTACAAATACGTGTGCCGGACTATGAATGGCTCACATATTTGTAAAATCTAAGTGACTCGTACAACATGTAATTCAGATAAAACGGAAAAATCAATGATCTTATAGGGGGGTCGACTGTAATGAGATAAATTTTTTAGATTATTTCACTACTGAAGAAATTCATAGTTACTCTTATTTTTCTACAAATCATAAGCTTTTATGTGATATGACATGTAACTGAAACCAAATATTACATCATGTAATAAGATTTTTTTTCTATTTAAAATCAAATGTAAGACACTTGAAAATTTTTATAAAATTATAAAAAATATAAACATAAAACAAAAATATGATAAATACAGTTAAAGAAATTTACAAAGTTTGTTTTTTGAAAGATTAGATGATAAAATCATAGGCCAGGGATGGCGAACCTTTTTCTGTTTGCATGCCATATTGTAAGCATACTTAGCTTTAAACATGTTGTGTGTGCGCCAAAGTTTCAGACTTCGAATAACGATATTTAAAGAAATTAAACAAATACACTTTAATTAGAATAAATGTAAAAAAGCTGATTGAAAAAGGATGATCAGTTGATAAACCAAAAAGATGATTGAAAAAGACAGAAATCGTATGATACATTACGTGCCAGATGATTTCTCCTTATGTGCCACAGGTTTGCCACCCCTGTCATAGGCAATGCTTCTTACAAATCAATACACAAAAACATGCTTAAAATACTCCTCTTTTCTATCTTTATGTCAGCAATATTAAAAAAAAGACAAAAAATACAAAATATGATTTTATCAATCAATCATTTACAAGAAAGCATGTCATTTGAAACTAATTAGCACTATGCCTTCTGCTTTTTCAGTTTAATCATGTCATAATATTATGATAATATATCATGATTCTTAAAATAATATTTTAAAATGTAAATAAATAAATATTATACAGAACAAATAAACCAGGGGAAAGGAGAATATATCTCGCTTATCCATATCCTCTTAAGTTATTCTGAGTATGAAAAATCACTTCTTTAACAAAACAATTTAAATAAGCTGCTTTATATGGGAAGGAATGAAGGAATAATCTTTAAAATTTTTATCCTGAACTTATTAACGAAGAAAGAATGTGAAGGATAAGGCAATATATGTGATATCTTCCATTTGTTTGAAATAAATTAACTCCATGCCTTCTGTTTCACTTATATTTTTTTAATTCACCAATAATAAAACAAAAGACAACAAAGTACCACGCCTCTATTCACTTTCCAACCATGATATATTTACACCAATTGTGTTCCATCATGTGATCAGAACACACTCCTACCAACCAAGGATTATATACTACATAATTAATATAGTCCTTGTAGACAAGGGATTTCACTTTATAGAGATTAAGTATAAAAAAACGGGAGCACCAGATGACAGGTACAATATTGTTTCATAAAGTAACTTTCTCAAGAAAGTAATATTTCCTTTCACTTGTGTTCTCCATAAATGAGTGGATTGCAAATGCATTTAGTACGTAATCCTGTTGCACATTTTCTCTCGTATAAATCAAAATAAACATATGCGAGCATTACTCGTAAGCAACAATATATACGAGGCACTAAGAAGCTTTTTCTACCTGTTGCAACGCTCAGACTTTAGGGGTATAGTAGTGCCCCTGCCAGCCACTGCGTGAAACCATTTTATCCCCCTAAGCATTCTCAAAACGTGATAGCCTCTCTTATCTCGTAAGCACTGCTTCGCTATACATCTAAAGTAAAATGGACGCTTGCGTGTATAATGTATTATCCGGCAAAAATAAAAAAGTCGAGGTAACTGTCGACAAAAACACCAAAGAAAGATTAACAACAGGCAAATTTATGGATTAAATGTACTTTTGATGGTTTATAAAGCATCACCTGATTAGAATTTATATATTTTCCAGACAGTGCCTTTAATTAAAGTGTGAAAGATTGGGAACACGTGTTAAAACGGCACCACAAATAACAAACAATCCATTTTATTGGTGGAATGAGGGAACAGAGATCAGAATGTGCTCGTTACAGAGAACAATTATCGATATATGTACAGGGTGTTTCGAAACTCAAGGGCAAAAATTTAAAGGGTGATAGAAAACATCTAAACAAGCAATTTTCACCATACAATGCATGGGTGGAGAGCAAACGATGAACTGCTAGACGGCACTGTGA